TGCTGTCATGTTCAATGTTGTCAGAGTTTTCTTTCTACAAGCAACTGTATGTCTTCCAGACTTTTTTTCCCCCCCAAATGTGCATTTTCTTAATAGGATCCCACCACGAGTTGTGCAGATAAAAGTTTTTGCAAAGTAGCATCATCAAAGTCAAGTGGAATGTAGCCTTTTACCACAAAGGGGAAAATCTCAGCCCATAAAATAAGAACCATGCCAGTGATACGTCAGCCTGGAAATAATACGAGTCAGAGCTGAGAATCAGAATCCAGAGCGTTCAATGGTGTTCATTTAAAAAAATAATAAAAAATTGAAGTACATAGAAATATTTGAAATGCTGCATGAGAAGGAATTATTTTTTAAGAGCACTTCTAGTTTACATTATCCGGAGTATCTCAATGGAATAGCTTTATATTAATAATATCTCATCTATTATGTATATTGCAATATGCCTAATACAATTGCTGAAGTAATTTGGTGCTGCTAATTCTTCTCTTTCTTTTTGTTCCCTTTTCAAAGCGGTAAAAATATTAGGAGAGTAGTTTAGAGCAAAGTATACCTTGCAGTACAGACTTCCCACAGATTAAGAATATCAGTCACTACATTTCTTGTTTTTCTGTTTCAGCGGGTAAAAAGATTAGGAGAGTAGTTTAGAGCAAAGTACAGACTTCCCACAGATTAGGAATATCACTCACTACATTTCTTGTTTTTCTGTTTCAGCCTAAAAATCTCTGTTTTCCTAGAGCTCCTCTTCTATTCTGCCTCCATTTTAATGCCCACTGCCTGCACTGTATCATCACATCATTGCATTATTTATTTTTGATTATTTAATATTTCACTAGAATTCCATTCTCAAGTTACTTTAATACAGTTCTATATTAAAGGTGCAAAATAAGGAAGCTAGGGAGTGCAGAAGTAGCTGAATATTGAATTTTTAGTCTGAATTTTGAATAATCTGGGTTAAAGGGTCCTGGTTGATCCAGTCTATAATACAATGACCAAGATCAGATATCTTTTGAGATGTCTTTTCTTCTGACATATAGTGCATGAAGCTTGATCACTAGTAATTATTTTAGACCTTTTGTGTTTGAAAAGTCACTGGGAAAAAAGCAGAGGATTTAAAAGTAAATCTGTGAACCTTCAGCTGTTTTAGACTTTTCCCCCACTGTGCCTCCAGAAGAGATTCCCTCTGTTAACTCATCACTAAAGCAATCGTGTACTACTTAACAGAGGTGCTATTTTCTACTTCATGTGTCTCCCTATGAATTGTGCAAGAGGCATTAGAGAGCCCTGCCTTCCACTGAACACATGAAAAGGCAGAGCAGAAAAAAGCTTTGCAGATTTATTGCATTCTCTGTGCATAGCCTTTCTGGGAGGGAGGGAGAGAATTGGCAGCGGGTCGTGCTGTGGAGCAGAGTCTGCAAGGACACAGGGAAATCTTTGCTAACCCCTAAAGATCTTAAATAGCTCCTTAAAACACTCCTCATTACCATGAACATATTTTCCAGGCATTATCTAGAGGTAATACTGAAGAAACATGTTATAAAATCTGCTTCCTCTTCCTTCCCTCAACCCTTACATCCACAATTTCCAGATCAAGGGAAGGAGGACAGGGAATGAGGTCCAGGGATGCTCTGGTAGGAGGCAGGTCACAAACATCCTTCCAGGTGGAACTTCCCAGTGCACCTCCCACCAGCTGCTGTGGGCTTCCATGGCAAGAGAGCAATCCCATTGGGAAGAGGTGTCATTTTCCAGGCCATGGTGAGCAGCCTCTTTCTCCTGCTGGCCAGCTGATTCCCAGAGGAGTCCCGTGTGTGCCATGGGCACCAGGTGCAGTGGCAAAAAGCATCTTTCCAATAGAAAGGTTCTGTTTGATTTGTCCCAGGTGCAGACAGCAAGGCTCTCAATGCAGATTTACTTGATCTTGCTCGGAGGGTGAAAAGGCGAGATAAACAAAAAAACCCAAAAAACAAAACCCAAAAACCTATAAGGGGATATAAAATCTCATTGAAAGGGTTTCTTATGTTTTGAAGAACCTCCCTCTTCGGTTGTCCCAGAGTTCGGCATGGCTCTCTCCAATTTCCAATAAATTTAGAGTCTTAATGATTGCTGAGCTGTGCATGTGAAACACCAAGGGTTGTTTTCCCATGTGCTGTCCTGTGGCTCTCTGGGTTCTGTTGTGCCTGCCCTCTGAGGAGCAGGTGGAACTGGGGGACTGTTCTGCTGAAATGCTGTGCTCTGCTTCAAGGCTGTTTCCATCTGGGGCAAAAAATTCAACCACTGACATTATTAGGCTGAGCAACATAAGGCCTAAGCACTAATCTGAGGTTTCTTAGTCAGTTCTTGACTTCTCAGACCTTCACTGTTTTGCCATCTGCTATAATTGAAAATTGCCTTCTGCAACCAAAGGGAAAATCTAATTTCTCAGCAAGCCATATGGGGTTATTAAGATCATTAAACCCTGGTATGCTATAATGCCTGGGCCAAAAGGACCACAGGGCACGTAAATATCGTGTGATTCATTTTATGGCTTCAGACTGCAAGTTAGGAATTATTTTGATGGCTGTCTTATGATGAAAAGCGCTGGTCAGGTAGGCTGCAGCAAATGTTGCTTGGTGAGGTCAATCCATGGCAGGTTTCCTCAGAGCTGTGATGGATGAGAAGTGGTTTTAATAGTTTTTGATCACAAAGGGTAAAACTTTTGCATCAGCCTGACAAATGATCAGCCAGTGTCCTCAATTGTATCAGAGATGCTAAAGGCAGCCTTGAATATTAAGAAATCAGAGAAGACAATTTCCACTTTTTAGGAGGACCCAGACTTGGCTTCCCATCCAGGACCTAAAACTGATGATTGTAGTTTGGACTCCCTTTCTTAAGAAGAGGAAAGCTATTCCCTACAGATGCCTGTTTATGAACCCTTTAAAACTGAGATCCTTAATTTTTTGTTCTGTTTTCTATTTCTGTAGATGTGATGTTTTATAAGATTTCTCTGTAGCAAAACCCACTACTGTGTATTTGATACCACTGTTGGGGAGAATATTAAAGCTGATTCTTTGTTAACAGGGCTTCCAAAATGAATGCAGGAGCTGTGAAATTTACATGAAATTAAAGAAAGAATAGCTCAGTAAATGCAAATAAATGCAGGAACAAATATTTTAATTTGAATTCATGATTAATGCCAAAGGATTACCAGCAAACCATTACAATGTGGTGATGACATAAAAACTCAATGGGAATAAAAATTCTATATGCACTAGTTAACTGATGGCAGGAAGCTATTTTTAGCAGGGCAGCTCAGAGTAATTTAATATTTTCTTTTTTTTTTTTTTTTTTTAAACATAGCAATTGATTGTATTTCAGGTTCTGTCTATGCTAATTATGTCTCAGAATAGTTTTTGCTATTGTATCAGTTCCTTCATTATAAAATGTGCCCACTATGATCAATAGACTTCTTCCCATTCTTCAAGTTATTAAATGAATTTTATTGAAAATAGGCATTACTGATTACCACTTTTCCTTGTGCTGTGTAACTAAAGGAGTTAAGAACAAATTGGTATGATTATATCTAAGAATTAGAGATAAGGAAAAGAGTGAAAAATGTTTCCCTCCTTCAGTTTTCCAGTGATCTCCATCTGACTGCATTTATTTTCTCACTGTGTCAGAAAAATAGAAACCAAAGCAGTTCTGGATAGGCTTTACTTTCTGTAACACTGGGGTCGTCTCATCTTACCATTTTGAAATCAAGATAAATTAAATGAGGTAAAAAAAATATATTTCCTGTTCTCTTTTACTGTCCAAATGGCTTTTGCTTTTTAGTGTTCTTGGAAGTCACAATTAGAATAAGAGAGCAATACTTATAATTTTCTCCAAAATTGGGAGTCCCCTCAAACTTTATATGGTTTTGGCTTTTTTTCCCCCCCCTTTTCTTTGGAAACTATGAAAAAGCATGGCTGGTTTTTAATTTGCACAACATGTACAAAGTTTTTGTTGCTTTCTGACTGCTCCTGGGCATTGATGTTGCCAGCCCAGAATGGTACTTAGGAGTATCTGAAGGATGCACACCCACAACACGTGCAGGTAGGCATGGCTTTCCAAGCCAGAACTGCTTGGGAAAGGGGTGGGCATTGAGTCAGGATGCTCAGACATGCTGTCAGGATGCTCAGACATGCCATGGCTGCCTGTGTGGGTAAATGAACCTGCTGCCACCGTGGTGTTTCCACCCTACACGTTATCCCTCCCCTCTGCTGGGAGCCTCCTATGCCTCCTCTTCTGCTGCAACCACGCTGCTGTGGCTGCACTCATTTGAGATGGCTGCATGAAGGAACCCTCACCCTTCACTAATTGCAGTGTCCTTCTTAATACATCTCAAACGTGGGAATAAACGAGCAGAGGCCTCAGTAATGAAGTGTTTGCTGGCACGACGTGCACACAGAAATGATTGTTGTGCCTGATTGCTAATTAAACTCAGCACAAACCCAGTGAAATCCTAACTCATCTGAAACTAATGGGAATTTTATCTCCACCATGTGCAAGTTTTGTTTCTGGCTTCTTTCTTCACTGCTGGTAGTGCTGGTCTTTGATGTGGATCACAAGTGAGCCCATGAGGGATTATGCAATGGAAATAATTTGAAGCCATCCCTGGCCTAATCTGGCTTGAAGGAGATCAAGTGCTCATAATATTGTTACTGTCATATGAGGCTGGGCATGTTTGCATATGTCTAAATTCAGTCTTAAGTGTGCCACAAACTATGGATGTGTCTTTCCTACAATATCCTTCCCCTCTGCATTGTCAGAGCAGTAATGTATACTTGGCTGTCGTGGCTGAGTGTCTCAAATTCTGAGAATCAGTCCAATCTAAGCACCAGTGCCATGGGAAAGTTGTGTTTTATTGATCCCTCTTTTCTCATTATTAGACTGATCCCTCCTGCACAAGATTTATTCATAGGCTTTGCTTAATTTTTGCTTTCAGCCTAACAGTGTATCAAATCAATATTTATTTTCACCTGTGTGAATTATTCCATAGCAATACCAGGCTTCCCCAGTTTCCAAGAAGCAGATTAGAAGCTCTGCCTCAATATCAGTGGCTATAGTGGAAATATCATCTGGAGATGTCTTCAAGGGATCATCTACTGCAATGCCTTTAGAGCAAAGCTGTACAAGAAACAAAGCCACTATAATATTATAAGACACCATTTCTTAGCTAGAAGCACTTTGTGTAACTGATAAATGGAGAAAACGGAAGTAAAATATACCTTGGCTTTAACTAAAGTTAACTAGAGAAATCAGTGCAAATATATTGGAACATAAAATCTTAAAAAAAAAAAAAAAAAAGCTGTTGGAGAAAGATAGACTTTCTTTCCTATTTTCAAAAATTCAGGTTCAACTTCAGGCTCCCCAAATCTGTCTGTCTTCAGGTCAAGGTTGAAGGGGAAGTCAGAGCTGTTTCCTTACATCAGCAAAGCACTGGTGAACTCTGCCTTAGTCCCACAGGTGGGAAGGCAGAGAATGGAACAAGGCAAGGAAAGCAGAAAATCTCCTCCTCATTTAATGGGAGGACTTGTCCTTCCAGCAAACTGCTACAGAAAGTAAAAAGGATGAGATCAAACATCTTTCCTCCTTCTTGAGCTGTACAGAATTGAACAGAGAGAAACATCATATTTTCTGTTGAAAAAAATACTCTTTTCCTGATAGATAAATCACCTGCTGTTCACCACAGCTGGTGACTTTCTCATTAAATAATGTTCTATTTAATAATGTGCATCATTAGACTTAGATAATCCAGAACTTAAAATTTCAGGGAGCTCTCAGCACTGGCAGAGTGGGCAGGGCCACTTTCAGTCCTCAAATCTGTTTTATCGATCTGCAGACGACCTGATTTCGTATTGCCAGAAAGTAGTAAAAAATTAACTTTTAGTTCTTGAGAAAATTCAGCTCTAAGAAAATAGATTAAGTCTAAGAGCCCTGTCTTTAAGGACAATAACCATATAGTGCTGCTAATGGAAATGCAATTGAATGCCCTTTGCTTGGATAAGCATCCCTAACAGGATTGTTTAGTGTGCAATGATTTCATCTGACTAAGTGACTTCACTGCGAATCAGCTTTAAAAGTAGATTTCTAATGAAGATTAACAAAGTAATATTTATCTGGGCTGTGTGTTTAAACTCTGGGATCATGCTGAGGACCTGCTTTAGAATTATTGCCAAGGGGTTCTCTCTTGGGTCTGCTTTGTCCCTCACCACAGCTTTGAAGTGGAAGGAGGAGCATCTGGCCTGTTTGTCCAGCTCCTCAACCCTAACAAATTTATTTACAATAATTACTTTCTTGTGCCTCTGTAGTTACGTTCCAGTGGTTGATCTTTAGGAGGTACAATGTCAACTCAGCAGGTTGAGATCTCTTTAGATGATTAAGTCTGTCAGGAATAAAAAGCTCTTCAATATATGCATTTTCCTCCTTGTGTATGGTCCCTATGAACTGAGAAGGGTGGGAGATTCATCCACACTTGGCACCTACAGAGTATTTAAGATTTTTGTCCATTGGTCAGCTCAATCCTTTACAGGCAACAAGGGTCATTCAAGGAAGTGTCCCCCCAGTTCAGGTGTGATAAATGTTTTTGATTTCCCGTCCCTTATCTGCTGAGTGAAGTTACACAGTGTATATAATAACACCCATATTTTTAAGATTTTCTATCATCTTGTTATCAGTAGAAGTTATAAATCAGAATATTCATCACTTTTAAGTCTGCTCATGGTACCATATATATCTGCTGAAGTGTCTCTGTGGATAAGGCAGGCTATATGTAGCTAAAAGACCCAGAGAATTATGTTCACATCAGTGAACATAAAAGTATCATCAAGTTTTTCTGTAATAACACTTTTCAGCTGAATTGGCCATGCTGTGACCTCTGTTAAATTTATGGGAATGAGAGATTTGAGGCTTCTCCCTGGACTTTCAAGTTCTTGAATGATTGTGAGAAGAAAAGAATCATTTAGGGATCCCTTCAATATAAAGTGCTGCAATTCAGAGTTTCCTCGAGCCTTGGTGCTGATATGAAGAGTTATGTTTAGACCTGGGTAACCCTTCAGTTATCTCTGACAAAAACCGAGACATGAGTCTCTGAACCATATCTGGACAGATAAGGATTCAGAAAATATGTATAAATAATGTGAAGATTGGGTTCTGTCAAGACTTCTCTAAGACATCTCAGAGTAAGAGTTCAAAGAAACTAATAATAACTCAATCTTTAATCTCCCAGAATCAGAGTAATAATTTTACAGGGATGCACCTGTGTTTGCGACCATCTCACCTCTATACTTTTCATATCCCAACCCCTCTCCTGATTTCTCTGTAGCATTTCTGCAGTAATCCAATGCATTTGAGAGATATCACTCCCCACTTGTTCCATACAAACAGCAGCAACATGCACCAAAAGTAAGATTCAACTTAGTTTTGTAGAAATGGTTCTTTCTGTAGTAAGCAGAAAAGTTTATGAACATACAAAGTAGCCATGGTGTCTGGTGTAAGTGAGATGCACAATTCCATCTGCTCACTGCTGCAAGGACTGTTTTTGGTAGCAATACAGACAGCACTGGAAAAGGCTTCTGTTGGGTGAGCCACCTCTGCACAGCACCATTTCCCAAGGTCTGATGGAGGTGATGCTTTATGTGTGTGTGTTTCACCACCCATCACTGCATTTCCCTGACCCTTCTGACAAAAGGACTTGGCAACACAGCAGGGGAAGGACTGTTCTTCCCTGGCGTTGTCCTGTCTGACACTGAATATTGAGTCTGGCTGAGTATTTTTGGTGGGTGAGGCAAAGACTGTGCCAGAAAGCACCTGAGGAAGCTCATCTGGGAAGTTCCCAGGGGAGGAACTAGGAATTAGGAAGGAAACAGCAAGCTGGGTTTGGCAGCATGGAGGGTGTGGAGAAGAGCTGTGGAAGGACTCAAATGTGAGTTTCAAAGGGGAAGATAAAAAGAGAAATTTCCTAAGGATCCAAAGGAGCTTCTGTAGATACAGATTGTTACCCTGGGAAACATCATTGGACTGAGAGCAACGGAGGAAGAAAGGCTGTGCCATGCACAGACATAATGAGCAGGGATGAGATTTGTCTGCAATTTCCATGTTTCACCTGGCAGAACCAACCTTTCTTTATCTTGCTGTAGTCTGCTGTCTAACAGCACAAACTTTGAAGTTTAAAAGTGCTGTTGGTGTTTTGGAGTGCTTTGAGCAGAAGGTGAAAACATCTCCATCACACTCCTCTGAATACCTTAAGATCTTGTCACAATTTAGCTGTGGGCTTGGAGGGGCAGCTCCATTTTGTGCCATTGAGGTTTTCTTGTCCCAGAGTTATGTGACAAAATTTATTTTAATTCCAAACTGGGAAATTTGCAGATATGTCTTAGGACTTTTGGTCTGTAGAAATCTTGCTAAAATCTTAAAGCTTGTGGAGGCTATGAAATTGAAGCAAACAACTTAAGCATTTGAAGCTTTACAGCCAATCTGGGGTTAATAACTTGAAATCTATAATTTTATTTCCTTCTTTACCATAGCTAGCAAACCTAGCAGGATTTTTTTACTTCCAGACATAGTCTATGTGAGAGTAGTCCATGCAGTATTAAGAAATATTTATTTCCAGAAATAGTTTAATTTTGAAAAGGGGGTTTTGTTACAGCTGGAGGTCACTGTATAAGTTCTGTGTACACACATCCTTTAGAAGATTGCTGCAGACCATTTAGAAGAGAATCCAGAGAGTTACCCAGTGTATAAATGAAAGGTAAGGAATGAAAGCATTACCTGAAATTTTTGCATTAGTGGTGAACTAACTCATTATGTTTTACTTTCACTGATAAAGGAGATTTCTCTTGTAATATTAGGACCCTAAAAATATACTGCTGAAACCACAGTTGTGTAAACACCTGTGATAAAATGCTTTCTCAAAGGTCACACAACAAGTCTGTAACCTTGTGACCTCAGCATAGATTTGTTGTGGTATTATGGCTTGAATTTTGGCAGCAGCAGGCAGGGAAATTTCATGAGTAAGGATCTCACAGTCATTAGTTAATAAGAAACAGAGGAAAAGATCTCTCAAACCCACCATGGCTTTGGTGAAAGCCCAGTGGAAATGCTGATCATCACAGCAGCTCCTAGCTAATTTTCCCTAGTGTGTAATTTGCAAGACAAAAATTAGAGCTCTGGTGATGTGTACATTGACACATTGGAGGTTTTTTCACTGAAACCAAGGTGAAAGGCTCAAAGGTCAGAAACTGGCCAGTTTACTGATCCCTGCTATAGGTTTGGTTCATGCTCAGTTCAGCAATACAGGTTGCCCTAAAGAAGAGGTGCCAATGGATCTCCATTTCTTGGCTATCCATCTGTATCTGTGGCTACAGACACATTTTGATAGTGAAATTATCTTGGGAAAACAAGCAAATTTGGTCAAATGGTGTATGGCAATGGGATTCTTTGGCAACTTCCACAAGATCACTCAGGCTTTCCCCTGCCAGGCTGAAAGGCTTAAGAGCCAGTTTGAATCCAGCAAAAACCTGCCAGCCTTGCTGGAGCCGCCTGCTTTCCTTTTCCTTCAGTATTTTTCTGTTAGCAAAGGAATGTTTAATCATGCCTCTCTGTTTTAAAGATAACTGTGTGGCTTTCCCTGGAGTGATTTTTAAAGTGGTTAATCAGAGGGACAAACCTGAAAAGGCAAGAAATATTTAATTAGTGCCTTTTCTTCTACTAGCCAGCAGTCCTAACCAGATGCCTTCACTTCAGAGCCATCCAAGTAATCAGCCTGGTAACGTCAGTGCATCTCACATCAGGCACCTGGCAAGTCCAACACTGTCTGCATCCCAGAAAATGTCTGCTAAGGAAGGCTACTCCTGAAAATCACTTTCAAAACCTGAGAGTGAGCTTCACACAGGGCTGAAAGCAAACTGCTTTTTGTATGTTGAACTGTAATCCAGCCCTTACCACTACTAGGCACTAGTATCAAAAATCCTGCAGGAAACCAGCATAACGAAGAATTAGTTAATGGTCGTTTTGTTTCAGTGGAGAGGGGAAAAGAAACGTCAGTACAGGAGAATAAAAAGTGTGAGGGATTTCTCTCAGTAATGTGATTTCATGCAGCACAGCTTTCCAGCTTCTATTCAAAGTCA